CCACGGGTACATCAGTATATCCCATGATATTCCCATGATATTCCCAGGATTCCACCATGATTGTTACTTAAATCCACATTATGTATTCAATGGATTTTCATGGGATGATAATAATAATAATCCATAATCAATAATGAAGGAATGATGGTTAATAATGATGCTATGTAATATATTAGTAAAATATGGATCTCCAGGATTATCTCCATTTACATCAGGAAATGAGTTATTCCACTTATATTCCATTCATATTGATATTAATCAGGGTAAAACAATGCTATAAATCACCCATGACTGGGAAGGGTAACCATATCACCTATAAAAATCGTGATTTTTCTGGGGGATGGTTTATATGCAATGCATTTCATGGAGAATAATCCATAATTCCTCAAGATCTGGAGATGGTTTTTCCGTTGTGGGATATATTTTATGGGATATAATTTATGGGATAAACGATGGGTAATGATGGTATATATAATATATATAATGGGATACTCATCCGTAATTGGACTCACAGAATATAAATATAAATAACGGGACTGTTTGATGGAATATGCTATTGTAATCCCAAAAAAAAAGTGGGATAAATGATGGGATACAAAATTGATAGATCAAGATCTGGAGAAAATCTAGTTTTTCTCTATGGGATGTATGATGAGATATATTGAATGGATTTTAATGGGACAATAATTTATATATGATTGGGATCTTTCAACACCCCAGGTACATTTTTTTGGGCGTTTTTACTGGGTGAATGTAGAGGTAAAATGATTCATCTATCCCCCCCAAAGTTGGGGGCTGATTTATCTATAATGGGTTGGAGCAATTTATCTGTCAAGATCTGGAGAAATGGTCTTCATGGGATGGATGATGAGATATATTGAATGGGATAATGATCCATAAAAGGCTTCATTCATCGGTTTTTGCAGCAGTCATAAAGGGGAATCATGGGATAAATCATGGGATTGGATGAGAATCTGTAATTGGGTTCATGGGATATAAAAATTACGGGATTGATGATCATGGGATAAATTCTCCATAATTGGGTTCATTCATGGGTTTTATTTGCTTAAAGCAACCATTTTTGTGGTGACAACTCCAGGAAAACTACTGATTGAGATGGAATTGATGTCTACACACTTCGAAAAAAACAAAAAAATCTCCACACTACTTGAGATCTCGCATCTGTTGCAATGCAGTTACACGAGAGGACCCACCTTCCTCACTCCAGAGCTGCCAACAGCCGATCTCATGTGGAAGCACCTAACGACGGTGCTTCAACAGCAAGTTGCATCCATGATCACCGTGGCGAAACCAATGAAGACGTTAGGGTATAAACGGTATAAACATACAAAAAGCTGTGGTAAACCCCGGAATGTGCCCCTAGAAAAGTGATACAATGGTGGATGTTCCACATCTATGTGAGTTTACCCGAGGGTAAACCTCCAATTGCAGATGGTTTATACCACCTAGTTATCGATTTCTCGTAAAATTGGGGATGGTCTGTTCTCGGGTTTAGCCATTTCTGCAGGTTCACCACCAATTAATGATCGGTTCGGCTGGTCCGAAAAGGGGTGCCCAACAAAAAACCGTTAAAAACATGGAACCGATCATTTATTGGTGAATTTATAACAATCAATAATCCAACATGGATTGTTTTTATGATTCATGAATCATGATAAACATCATGATGAAAATCATGATTTCATATGATCCAAAAAGCCATAGATCTTGGGGTGTCCAATCTTCACCCCCCAGGGGCATCGGGTCCCAACGATCAACCGAGCCGCTCCACCATGAGGATCTGAACAAACCACCCCAGAAGCGCAGTTGAAGTCACTGACTGTGACTTCGTTGATACCTCCGGTCCCCTCCCCTTCCCCAGTCCCAAGGCTCGTGTTTTCAGTGATTCAAGAACTGCGAGACGGAACAGATGGTTCAATGCTATGGTTCCAGTTATCTATACGTATGTCTATATATATTCTTCACCCGTCTCCACCTATCGACAACGAATTGTAAATCTGCATACCTATTATATTGTCTATGTATCTGTACGCTGTATACATGCTCTTCTGTCTCACTCTATCCCTCTCCTTCAATGACCAAATATAATCATCCTTTACCCAGACATTAATTCAAGATTTCAGTTGCTTTCTCCAAGGGAAAGTCTAAAGGACACAACAACAAAACCAACAACAATCAGATGCTAAACCATGGCAACAGTTGCACCACCCAGCGGACGCGATTGGAAAACTCGCAAACCTCTCTTGTCACCGCTTCGAACGTCAGAGCTTTTCAGGCTTGATAGCCACTTCTGAGTTCCCAGATTGAGCCCATTCAGTGGCTTTGTAGTGTTGCCAACCCGAATCCGACAAATAGATTGGTTCCCCCAATGCGGATGTTTCAGAAAGGAAGTTTAAATTGTTTAAATCAGAAACTGCAGACTTCCGCACGCATGTCACACATGGCGAGCATCACTAGTTCGCATGAGAACACGATAGCTAGTGGATTCAGTCGAATGGTTGACAGTCAGCAAGCCTAGGAAAGTGATGGACCATAGCCCTAATGTTTTTTATCCATCAATTTATCTCAGAAGTTGCACATGAAAGCAATTAAGTTCAGAGTTGATACCATCAAAATAGCCCATGGGATGGTATAGAAATGTATAGAATACACACCCTCAAGGCAAGCAACCCCATTGATTTGGTATATGAACTCCTCCGGAAATAGAAACCCACATCTTAGACTGAAAAAGTTGAACTCACAAGCTCATAGTTTGAACTCACCATGTCAGCTGTTTTCCCACCAAGCCCCAGCCTCCAAAGTACCATCTGCCATCATTACCAGTGTAGAGAAGTCGCTTGCCATCGGAGCTCTTCCATACCCTCGCTGATACCAATGATTGTCTCGAAAGCTGATCACCATTGATCACCCTTCCAAAGATCTGGGACCCATGAATCTGCCATGTTTAAGTTACATATTTTTCTGAAGTTTTCTGAAAAAAAATGGGTCATCCATCCGATTCAGAGGATGCTACCCAGTCTGTGACAATGACCTGTGGGATTTCCGTCCTGTCGGAGGTGAGGGATGACCAATGTAACTTGACCAAAGTGTGGATTGGATACTATACAGTACATACATTGCATCACTACACTTGCGTGCGAATAGAGAGACATCACACACACAAGAAACTTCCCCCAAATAGTGATTGTCCTAAGTCTTTTTGATATTGTGATATTGTCTATTTCACTTCACACAGGTAACAATTCCCTGCTGACTGCTGACTATGTTTCTTCACTTTTCCAACTGGCCCATTGGCTCACTCTCAACCCCAAATGACGGCGATCCCAATGACTTGACAAAAAAGAGCTGCCTGGGGACCCCTCTGTCAGTCTGTCTGAAAAGAGGGTGCCCGAAACTGCCATTTTACTTCGGGGTTAGACACACCCAAATGGAGGTGTTAAAAGGGGATCCCCCATTTTTAGACACACCCAAATATAAAAAATCAAACAATCCACTAATTTCAAGGCTGAAAACCCGACGTCCAAGATGCGGATATCCGTGGCACAGGGTGTCCACCAACTGATACGTTCCTGCCTGGGGAACCAACAGATTCCCCGGAAATCTGGTGGATTTCCTGTTGGGAAAATATCAGGATGTGTTGAGGTGTTGTCAGAAATTGATAATCAAAATTTAAGTAGGAAAACATGAAATGGATGATCCCATCTAGTACATCACCTCATTTTTTAATGTAACATCATGTAATGTTAATAGCATCTGTACATGGACGTATCTCATGATGGCGGAATCTGGATCTATGCATTTATCTCAGATCCTGCTTTCACAAAGTCACAAATCAGCAAAGATGCTGGCCAATAGAATGGAACATGTCATGATTCATGGAACATTCATGGAACATTCATGGAACATTCATGGAACATTCATGGAACATGCTCCAGACAGTTACCATCAGTGACCCGGTGCCTTTCTCTGCTGTCCATTGGGAGAGATCAAATACATCACCTCTGGAACCGCAGGCAGCTTGGTCATCACCGAGACGGCCGATGAGGATGAGCCGCCCTGAGCATTTTGGGCATAAATTGGGCCAAGTTGGGACAAACCCTTTGATAAAATTGGTGGTTACCCTCTGGTAAACTAACATAGCTATTGAAAATCACCATTTTTAATGGGTAAATCAACTATAAATGGCTATTTTCAATAGCTATGTTAAATTACGAGAGGGTAACCAGTCAAACAAGGGGTTAAACGGTTAAACCACAGGTAATTGGGTTTTTTAGTTTACAAACAGTTCATCGATCACCAATTGATAATTCACCGGATCGACGCAGCACCCATCCAATCCCCTGTTTCACAGCTTTGCTGCTCAGAAGAGCACGGTGTGCCTTGACTATTCCTGTAGGTCCTAGTAGGTGATTGGCAAGCATGTGGTTTACGTTGAACTACAAGGTACCACAACAGCAACATGCGTATTACACTCCGGTCGTCAAAAAGGTGACAATACGAATCTACACGGCAGTGTGTCAAAACCTTGTACCCCTGGTGAACATCAAAATAGCTGGTAAATGGATGTTCATTCCCCTAAAAATGGTATTAATAGGTATTGATCCATACCCACACATGTTTTGAGAACCTATCTATTCACAATGGTGATATTCCATTGCCATGCTGCGTATAAAAAAAGGGCCGCATTTGGCCCATGTCCATCCCATAGTTTATAAAATCATGTTCCCCGTTTGAGCAGTGATTAAAAAAACTGGTTGATCGTTATCTGGGGGTATGCTATCCGACAAATATTGGGAATTATCGCAGATAGTTCATTTCTATTATATAATCCCCATTACATTCTCCAAAATATACATCATATATCCAATATACTATCCTATACATGTATATATATATATGTATATTTATCTCTGTCATGGTTCTTACATAATCCCATGTGTTAACCATTAAGCCCATTGTTACATCATGGATACTCCATGCCGAACTGGTTCTACTGTTGGTTTAAAGCTATTAGCAGCTATTCTAACAATGGATTGTTACGATCCCACAAGATTCACAATAAACCAATGGGATTTTGACACAAAGTTGGATACTACCAGTAGGATGCTTAATCCCAAAAATAGACTAAACCATCTGTGGTCGCCCAAAGTAACAGAATCTAACATAGATGGTTGAGGGTTATTCCACCCAATATGGCAATAATCCTTACCCTCTGGTTATTTAACATAGCCATGGAAAATAACCATTTTTAATAGGTAAACCCAGGTAAACCATCTATAAATGGGCAATTTTCCATGGCTATGTTGAATAACCAGAGGGTAATCAGAATAAGTTTTTGGACCCCCAAAAAAATTCCATGGGATCGACATCCCGCCTCCTGGCTCCATGGCACCTGCTCTGGCAGCAGCCCCACATGCGCTGCTTCGGACAGCATGAAGCCACTGTCTGCGCCGGAGAATCCATCAAAAATGGTGGAATTCATGGAATTTAGTGATGATTTCATGGCAAAAATGACTGGAATATGGTAGAAAATGGTGGAAAATCCATCAAAAATGGTGGTATTTCATGGTATTTCATGGTATATGACTGGAATATGTCATGATCTATACCCTATACTGTGTCATCAAACATGGGACATCCCCCCAAAAAAAATGGAGAAAATCTGGGGAAATGATGGTCTACTATTATGGCAACAATGGGGAAATTCTGGCAACAATCATCGTGGGGATTTCTATAGTGGGGATGTTCATGAAATATTGATGACATGAAAAATTACCATTTACTGGTGGAAAATGATGATGAATCCGTTGATGGAATGGGTCCCTATTTTTAAACACGCCCTGAAATATTATATGCTCGACCCAGTCATGGGGGTTGAGATTGAGAATCTGCAGGTGAAACATAGGGCTACGTTAAGCTCTACTACATACATGTGTGTATATATATATCATAACATATACATATATATATATATATATTATATATACATATATATATACATACATACATACATACATACATACATACACACATACATACATACATACATACATACATATATATATATATATATATGTTGCATATGTTGTTAGTCCCATCCTCCGTTCATCTTCAATATCCCCAAACAAAATCCTGCTGGAACGGAGTGAATCTATCCATGCATTGAGGTCCCTGCTTGGTAGTGTTCGATATAAAAAGAATGGAATCAACACACAAATTGTCCTTAGTTAACTAGATTGTATCCTTAGTGTGTTGATCCTTAGTAAAACTAGAATGGGATATCTAAGAACCAAAACTAGATTGTTAACCAAAGTTAACCACGTTACACTGTTACTCCCCATCTTCTTGGATATCACTGGGTCACTGGAGGGCCCATCTATATGGTCGTCCCCCTGGTCTTGCGGCAAGGCGCTACATCGGAACTTGTACTGCTCCGCTGCAGTGTGATCACTGATGCACCATTTTCCTCCAGAGCGGCGGAGTTGGTGATTTGGTGATTTGGCTGTCGGAAAAAGGTGGATACCCAAATTTATGGCAACGTTAGGGAAAATATGATGCTTGAACTCTGACTGACTCTGACTAACCAGGGGATTGTTGGCTACACTGATTTCATCGAAATTGTCAGAACTTGGGGCCCATCCCACACCCGGCCAAGCTACCTTTGTTTCCGCTGAAGAGCCACATTGCTGCACCCAGCCCCGCACGACGCCACAAGGGGAAGCCATTGGCAAACTGGCCTGGGAACATCGAGAGTCGAGCGAAAACTGCGTGTATGAAATCATGTGGTGAACAGGAATAAGCAAATAGTCATAAAACCATTAGGGATTCTTGTCATCCATTCAAAAGAAATTGGATTCAAGCAGTACTTGGGGTTGTCATATCAGTAGGTAAAAACTGTCCGCCCCTGAACCTTGAAATCTAAGATGATGAAACCATAGAAACCCCGTCCATTTTTGGTGTCCAAAAAACTGCGTCCACTTGCTATGTGGGGTTACAACCCCATTGAAATTGCCATCCTTGAGACCTTGAGGTCACGAATCCATATCATTCGCGGTCCACATCAGTTACCCTCTGGTAATTTAACATAGCTATGGAAAATCATCATTTTCAATGGGAAAATCCACTATAACTGGCCATTTTCAATAGCTATGTTAAATAACCAGAGGGTACAACCCATTGATTCCCATTTTTCCCCAAGGTTTGATGGCTGTTTCTACCATTGAAAATTCCAACATCTCAAGGACTGCGCCTTCCAGTAGGTCAAAGCGCCCCGTCGCCTTGAGACCACGCCTCGATCACGCGGCCGAGATTCGCGAAATCATGGCTTTTAGCACGAAAAAACCGATTTCCAGATTTATTGATATTTATTGTAACCAGCTCCCACAAATGAGGATTCAACCCAATTACGAACATCTTTTCATGTGATTACCCAATCATTCGAATCTCATGATGCAACCAATTCAAATTCAAATTGGGTAGAATCCTCATTGGCTTTCATCAACATTTATTCTGAGTAAATTATAATATTTCACTCACCTGAATCTTGCGGCCATTTGGGGATGATTTCCCTTTATAGCCATGATTCCAGTGGGGTCGCAGTGAGGTCGTTATAATTTACCCAGATTTATTGATATTTATTGAGATTCCCAACATCTCATCCCCATGGTGGCACCAGGAGCCCCGGCGAGGTGACCCACAAACTGGCGCTGGGCGCTTCGAAGGGATGCGTTCCAATACCTCAACGGGGGATGGCCATGGGATGGCCATGGCCCAAGATTTTTCCCCGGCCTGGTGGTGTAAAATCATGGCTTAATGGTGGTAAAAAAATGGTGAGTTTAATGGAATTTATATCCAACAAAATGGTTTTAATGGGATTGACCCCGGCCTGGTAAACATAGAAAAAGCTATTGAAAATGGCCATAGAAATAGTGAGTTTTCCCATGAAAAATGGTGGATCTTTCCATAGTTATGTAAACGTTTACCAGAGGGTATCATGAATATCTTTGGCCCTACCGGCCCTACCATCTGAACATATGAAATATGATATGCTATGGTAATCAGCCAACTACTTGTTTTCAAATTCTTTAAAGAGAAAGAACCATAAGATCTGAACTTGACATAATGTAGTTCTTAAATCTCATCCGCCAAAGGGTTCAACCAACCCATCTTTAGACCAGCTGCGGATATCCTCGTCTTGCTCCCAGCCACATTGGCTTCGGATACCCCATCCTGCCAGCAATTCACAAAGTTTTGCATCTCTCATGGAAAGCATCTGGATTCAAAGTGTTGGCTTGCAAATCTCCACTCGTCCCTGATTAAGTTGTCTCACAACTCCCTTGGAGCATTGAATTAAAGCTCAAGAATCTCTGTAAAAATGTCTCGAAAACCTCCCATCAATCAAAAGAACATCAATCAAGGAGAAATAGACACACCATCAGTCCCCAAAAAAAAACGTGTTTTTTTTTAGTTTGGGGATTTGTCAACATGAGTTTTCTATATATGGCTATGGATCAATACCTATTAATACCATTTTTAGGGGGATGAACATCCATTTACCAGCTATTTTGATGTTCACCAGAGGTACAAGGTTTTGACACACTGCCATATAAACCTTTGTTAACATCAGTTCTTCACTTAAAAACAGCCAGGCACCACCTCGATGAGAACCGCTGAAGGCATCTGGTGGCAAGCCTGGCCAGGCCAGGTTAGTAGGCTGCAGAAGATCTGCAAAAACCCGCAGCTTTCAACACAATTACCCTCTGGTTATGTCAAAATAGCTATTGAAAATGACCATTTATAGTGGATTTTCCCATTAAACATGGTGGATCTTTCCATAGCTATGTTAAATTACCAGAGGGTACCCAACATGAATGGTGATGAATGGGGATTTAACGGTGTTTTAATGGTGTTTTGATGGTGTTTTGATGGGGGTTAATGGCGATGAATGGTGATTTTAAGATGTTTTCAACGATTTCCCCCACTTTTGGTGAGTCCCAACTTCTGGTGATGAATGATGTTCCCAAAAAATGCCTCAAAAAAGCAGTCCATGGGCTACGCATCAGGTACGTTTAGCTACTGATGATCCCGTTCCCCTTAATATGAAATACCTCACTCTGGGCCCAAAAAATAAAAAATAATATTTTATATACAAATATATAAGTATATATATATCCAATACTAAACCGGGCCTTCTAGGGGATACTTCATATTGGAAGGAACGGAATTTTCTGCAGCTTTTCCCAATGTTCCACCTGCATGCGGATGAGAAGACACCAAGCCCCCGAGGTTACACTCGAAGTTCCTGGAGCGCTGGGATGAAATCTTTTTTTTGGGGGGCTGAAGATGGAGCGGATCTGAAAACGAAGATTTATCTTCTTCGAGAGTATCTTAATGATTGGGGTATGTTAGATAAATACCTCATACTATTTGTATCTATTTGTTATACTATTCCTCTCCAAGCTCCTCATCCTACATTGTGAACAACGCCACGTTTTTACCCTGTCGCCGAAACCGCAAGCGCCGCAAGTGGAGTGGCCTCTGCACCACCAGTTGCTTGCAAACGACATACCTCACCATCTCTTGACAGATCTTCATGGGTGCACCGCTGAAACTTTTGAGGGAACCCCAGGGACCAAAAAGAAACAGTAAATGAAACATAGTCAAACCCGACCAATTCTTCCATGAAAATCTTATCATTTTTTCGACATCGAAATAGCAGTTTTTGGAGTATCCCTCATCTTGAGACCACCCCTTCTCTCGAGTCATTCCACAAATTGCATGGTGAACCACATCAATTTTCAAGAGCAGTCCACGAAAATGGCTGCATTTCTTTCCTGAAACCCTGCAGTTTTAGTGGATTACCAGTTCCAAGAGATGCTCAATGTTCTTCCATCGCTTACCCGGTATGGAGAACAGTGATCCGGAAAAGATGAATCAAACCTTGAAAATCCCCACCCAATGGGCCTAAGCCTGGGGGAATGGTGGATTATCACTGCAAACTGCTGGGTAAAATGAATCATTTGACTTTCAGGGCAAGGAATATATGTTGATCTTTTTGGAGGATTGTCACTGAAAAATCAGCCAATCCAAAGATTTTCTATCTCTACATCTCAAGCCATTGATTTCGACAACACCCGTTTGCGGGGGACAGATCCGCATGGTAATGGGAGTAATGTTGTGCTTCCCAGGCACCATTTGCCACTGCGGCCGCTGTAGAGATAGGCCTCTTCTCCCCAGCCGGCACGTTGCCACAAGGGATGCCCGTTGGCATGGGAGGTTGACAGTTGGTACTCACCAGAGAGCTTCTGGAAGCCGTTCCTGGAAAGCTGATGCTGATGCCCACCGTCATCATGGTCAGTAGCAACAATAATAATTGTCACAGGTGGTGATATTACAACCATCATCCTCATCAGCACCAGCTGCACTAGTGATATCCAACCGCAGTCACCCAACGTCACGCGCAAATGCTGCCGAAAGTCGGGGAAGTGATGTAAAGCCGCTCAGGCGCAGGTGGGGGATAGATGGAGAAGCTGATCTGAAGATCTTTGTTCCATCCATACTGGTCCTGCCGGAGCCCACCGGGATGGTTGGTCCATTCCATGGTGGTTTTTGTGGATTTTGCCACCCCCAACACCCATTTTTTGGCCAGGGAAAACAAGCAAAACTGGTCAAGAAAATCAAACTCTCTTGTTTGGAAGATTAAAGAAGGCAAGTTCCAACCATTTGGTAGTGCTGAACACAAAGATAAGCCGCTGGTGGCATTTCGCATTCCTTGAAATTTAGCATTGCTATCTCAAGATTGACGGGCAAAGGATATCTATTACGGACAAATTGTGTGAGCTAATGAATGTGAGTCTTGTCAGGGAGCAGCAACAGCAAATAAAGCAACTACAACCGCTCCAAATATCTGAAATAGCTGACATACGTCGGCAAGAATAAAACAACTCCCATCCTCATTAAAGCACAAGACTATTCAAAGAGCTTCGGAATTCCAATCTTCGCAACTTCCATACGGGGATTTTTGTCAAAACCCTATCCCCCTGTAGTTCACATCAAGTCATAGCTGGGTTAAAATGGATGTTCATCCCCCTAAAAATGGTATTTTCATAGGTATTGATCCATAGCCATACAGGATGGTGCCCCCCAGTTATAAGTTGGTTTATAAACCCCATTAATAATCATTAGCTATAGTTATATCTGCCATAAACCATAGTTATGGGAGTTATAAACCAAACGAACTGGGGCACCACCTTGTACATCAACTGTTGAATAACTGTGAAAAATCCCATGGAAATCCCATGAAATCCCATGAAATCCCATAGAATTTGTGAAAAATCCCATGATGAAAATCTCCCCATCTCCCCATCAAAACTGGCCTTGTACTGCCAGGAATCTTCCTCCAACATCACGGGGAGGAGATTCCGATGCTCCAAGGATGAGATCAAGCCACGACCGCACTGGAAGTCGTTTTGCTCCACCACCTGGGGAGGAGAAAACCTGGAGAATGGAAGAGTCCTGGGATGGTTGATTGAATGGGAAAACAAAAAAACGTCAAAAAAATCGGATTTCATGGAATTTAATTGAATTTAAATGAAAATTATATAAATGGAATTCAAATGGAATTTAAATGGAAATTCATGGTATATTCCCGAAATATTGCTGAGATGTATACCCCCCGAACTATTGCTGGGTGAATTCCAGCAAGAAGTTATAGGATTTTATTAATCCCTTCACCCTAATATTAAACACCCCATAAATGGTCCCAATTATGTGGAAATTCCCTACTAAACCATGGTTTCGTTTAGGGGGTGTTCAATATTAGGGGGAAGGGATTATATAACTAGTTGTGGCCTGTTGTGGAAAAACTAGGTTATTTAACTGAGCTATGTAAACAGAAAACAAATCCCTACCACTCAGTTTTGTATAACTAGGTTAACCCCTACACGAAACCTATACCAACACATACCTGCAAGGAGGTTTATATAACTAGGTTAATGATTGGATTTATGGCTATAGCTATCGGAGTTTGACAAATCAACTTAGAACCAACAACTGTCTTTATTAGCTAGGTTAACTATACTTGGATGTATGGTTGATATATCAATAAATAATCGAGTTTTTGTAAACCAACAAACATGACTGAAGGGCACTGCTCTATACAAATGGCTCAAGTCATGTGAGATTTAACCAGCATAGGTGGAGGCATAAAGCAAACTATATTGTTGAATGGGATTTTTTGTGGGATCCAAATTTTCAGTCTAGTTTTCTGAAAGAAGTTGTGAACTTAGCTACGAACTGGATAGACTTCGCATCCCTGGGCACTTCGTGGAGAACCCCCTGGAAAAACATCAGCGGCCTTGTTGTTGCTCACGTACCAGCGTCCATTGGGTCCACCTCAAGCTGCGTTTTGGTTCCAGCCATGCTGGGCCCAAAACGCCCCATGCCCAAAAACAAAGTCTGAAAATTGGGTATTCCCAAACTTGATGGGTTTCTAAAACAGCCACATTTTCTAAAACAGCCACATTTTTTCCCACTTTTTGGGATCATATCGTTCTCACATGTTTAAAACAGCCACGACCTGGGTTTCTGAAACCACATTTTTGGACGCGTGCCGCCAAGCGTCTATAGATCCACGCCTCCTGCCCAAAACCAATGCGCTTCCAGATGGGTAGACCCTTGGAGAGCTTCCCTTCCAGCAAGCGATAGAGACCTCTCCGGATCCACAACAAGAAACACGTCCAATTCAAACATGAACGAAACCATGACGTTTAACTCGATTTTTCTGGTTGAAGTTATTTGTAATATGTCAACCCCGTATTCATGAACGGTGAATCAAATACCGGGAGTTCTCGGCTTCTCCCTGTGATCTTCCCCCCTTAGTGGTACCCTCTATTTACAGCACCCAAATGGGGGGGATCCCCAGCGAGCCATGGATGACACCGAGTACCAGAGCTTCACCCCGATCGGATACCCTTCGGTGTCCTCAACATGGCAGGAAAATCCCCGTGGCCTATCCATGGAGGTTTAGTTGGGAAAATCAATGAAGCAAATGGATGTAAATGGGGGATTTTCCAGCAAACCATGTGACTTGTTTTTTCGCGACTCGTCATGGCCCTAGATATTTCGGGGAAAAGCCCCGCATCTCATGGGCTGATCTCCATTCTCCTAGATGTTCTTTGGGAGGTATGCTAGACATATCAAGTTGTATCCCATGAATATCCCCATTTCTGGTGCATTCATTCCCATTCCATCCCCATGGAACCGTGGTGAACCGTGCTTCAATGGATTGGTCTGCGGGAAAATCTACAGGAAACCAGGATTTTTAACATGAAATGTATGGGAGTCCGGTTTCAAGTGTCCCTTAAACCCATCCAGTGACTGGTGCGCAACGCACCTCCCAGCTTCTGCTGGCCGTTGGGTGAGGTCAAGTAAAGCTCCAGTGGCACATCGCGCGACGATGGCATCGCTCATCAATTTTTTGGGGGCTGCCAAATTCTATGGATCTGAAGTTTTATGTGCATATCTGAAATGACCATTTCTTAATCCCTGTATGTCAATCTGGATACTGCATAGGTGTATATGTATAGATATACATATGTATTACAATATGTATTACATATGTATTACATATGTATAATACATCTTGTGGTATGGAAAGAAAAGATTTGAGAAAGTGCACTCTGTTCCGAGTTGGCTATCGATGATGTTGCCGATCTGGGGGACAATCATGGGGCTCTGAAAGCCAAAATACTGCGACCAGGGTGGCAAATCCCCATCTTTCTTGGTGCAAAACCAGGTTCACAGAAAAGATCATATATGCATGGGTCCGCTTCAAAATTCTAGATGAATCCCCCTTTGGGGACGACAGCACTACGTGCTAAATATATATATATATATGTGATAATTAGCATCTTAGAGTTGGTTCATGTTGGTTCCAATCCCTGCGCAATGTGTGAATCGGTATTCAATGGAGATTAGCTGGGATGTTTTGCAGCATTGACCCAAATAGATCTATTCCAAACATTTAAAGTATGATATTCCCATAGCATTTACTTAGATATTCCAAACATCCAAAGTGGCTTAAATGATACTTGGAGCATTTACCCATCCACTTGTTCTGACTCTTAGCAAATCTCCCCTTAGATATTCCACGTTGCACAAAGAAAAAGCATATTAATTGCCAGATTTAATGTTGAAAAAAGGTAAGATCTTCCCATGACAATCATTTGATCATCAAAAATCACCTATTTCTCTCCAAAAAGTGGCTATCGTTTACGGGGAATGCCCCCTTCAGAAATGGGCAAACAATCGTCATGAAATGGGCGAACAACCAAAAGAAAACCATTCTCCTTCAATAACGATTCCCAGAAGATATGATTATAGTCATCCCCAAATAGATGGAAAAGTAAATCCCAACAAAACTTTGACGAAACATCATGTTCCCAGAATGGTTTTCCCATTCAAATCTCCATATTTATAGTGGATGTCCAATTCATTATCCAATCATTCTCCTCACTGATTCCCATAAAAATATACTTACCCTCTGGTAATTTGTTACAGAGCTATTGAAAATGGCACATTTCGTGCGTTGATTTACCTATCAAAGATGGTGATTTTCCATAGCTATTTTGTATAGTTTACCAGGGGGCAAATCCACTGTGTCATCATTAAAACCTCCATATTTATAGTGGATGTCCAATTCAAAACCATCATTTATCCTCACTGATTTCCATCAAATCTGCTATTTTCATCCATGATCCCAGAATGACTGAAGTTGGTGGTTTCAACCTACCCCTCTGAAAAATGATGGACGAATCGTCAGTTGGGATGATGATTATATATTCCCAACTGTTTCTGGAAAGTCATCATCCAGCCATGTTCCAGTCACCAACCAGATGATGATCTCAGGATAAAAACCGGGCCCCCTGGCCGTTTTCGCCGCCACCTGTGCCCAGGAAGGCTTCGGCACATCTTCCGGCGCCTGGACGTCGGACGATCCCATGGAAACCCCAGAGAAACATGGTGATTTCACGGGTTTTCCCCGTGAAAAATGGTGATTTCATGGATTGGAGCCACGAAAAATCATGGATTTTCCAAGCCAAAAATGTGGTGAAATTGATAGGTGTAACAAAAATGAATCGACATGTTGGATTTCATCTATCAAAACGTTGAAAAATCGGTAACCAAGGGGAAACTGGGAATTTAGCCATCCAGGCTTATCAATGATTCTGGGTTGAATCCAATCCACTACATTCCACCAGGGTTTACGGACCAGGTGTTGTGCAAAACATGGGGAGGTCAAGGTATTGATCCATGTCGACTTTGAACATGACATGAGGACTGATCTATTCATCTATTCTATCCAGCAAGATCCAACAAGCTTGAGTTTTTTCAGCGACCCAACAAGGGTGACGCTTAAAAAAAATCGATGTCAAGTTCATGCCCAGATCCAGCCATCTTGCTGGTGCCTGCGCTGCATCGCCTCTGCCAGAAAAAATGGTGGTTGGAACCACAGAGTTTACCACCCCGGATATGGCTCCTATGAAATCTTTTTCGGGATCATCTTTAGCAAGAGACAGTTTTGAAATGTTTTGAACATGGAAGATGAAAATCAAAAATTTCTTCGCCCATCGCAAAGTCATCGAACTGGGCTAACTGGGCCTCTATTTTTCAGAGTCCATTTGCAATCATTGCAATGTACTGAGATTTGGGGTTGGGCGGGTTCACGATTTCGCTTTCAGAATGTTCTTCTGTGGGGCCTATCAAGTTGGGGGTATGAACTGTTACATTCACTCTCTGATGCTAGATTCCGACCTACATTTTCTATCTCAAACAATCATCTTGAAAATTAAAAAAGGTGGCAGTGCTCAAAATTCGCACTAAATACCTTTACAGATTGGAACGACCACCTGCATTTGCGCATGTTTGTGATCCATGACCTGCGTCTGAAGCACAAGCTTCCCAAGAAATATTGGGCTCAGCTATCCAGCAGAAACTGGACAAGAATGTATCAACCATCAGAGAAGCCATTGGATTTGGTTGGTTTTTGATAGTTTTCCTGTCAAAAAATCCATCGAGCCACCTGAAGTTTCGGCCACTTTCCGCTGCAACTGGAAAGGCTGCCGGTCCTGGTGACGCCGCGGAACCGCGGGCGGACTTTCACGGGTCAGATTATCCCATGGATTTCAACGAAAAGGGGTTTAGGGTCGGGTCCTGGAAATTTTGCATTCAAACCATTTCTGGAAATGTTATGTTCTGGCAAGAGGGGTGCATCTCGAAATACAGTACCCAAAAGCATCCGCTTTTTAACAGCACCAAAACATGTGGTCAGGGGTCAAAACCCGATACCCTCTAGTTCCCATCAAGATAGCAAAAAACTACCAATGATTATGGATGTGTTTCCCAAAAATTATGTGATCCAATCGGTTTCAGCCCATCAAATTGGTCCGTTCCTCGTCATCCAGCTCAGTGCAAATCACAGCAAGAGTGCGCGCCTAGGTTGGTGGATTCAAACCATTCCAAGAAAATCACATCAACCAAGCAGTGAAGCAATGGTTAATATTAGTAAGGCAATGTCATAAACGACCCATATGTTCATGACTTGAGAGCAGGCGGAGGCGGACGAAAGGTAGTGTAGTGGGAGAGGAGTGGTGTCAAAATGTTGCGCCCCTAAGATGATACACCAAAAACTTGTTTGCGCAGTCTAAGATGATTTTATCCAGAGCATGACTGCATGATACGGTGTCTTGTGCAGCGTGAAATGATGCACGAAAAGGGGTTTATTTAAAACCCCTTTTTTAAACCCCTTGCAGCAACTGTTATTGAAGCTGAAGCAAACCAATTATGCTGGACTACAGGGACATCTCCCTCATGGAAAGTGTGCCTCTAATGTGGGGGCCCGTGACCGCGTCACCCGTGGGAATTGAACCCATGACCATTTTCGGGGGGGGGGCCCCCCTTATAATTGATATCCAATACATAACGGCGAGAATTCCATGAATTCCACGGGCTGGCCCCCCAATACCCCCTAAGCTTGTGCTGAAGCACGGAGAACTCAGGTAGCTGACGCTACCTTTCGTGATTTATACCACCAATAAAAATTCAAAATTTGGGGCTGGTTTAGCCAGCTTTACCAACATGATCCTGTTTAGGTAAGAAATGAACAAAGCGGGACTGGCTCTTTAGGCCCTTCAGGCCCTTCAGGTCCGGACTGGAACGCGCGTTTTCTCCGTCTTCAGCAAAGTCATTGTCGCCTGCACAGGGAAAATTCCACCCGAACAGATTCCGACGGATGTGACGGATGTGACGAGTGGCATCGAGGCAACTGCAACTGGAACCTCTCAATTTGGCTGATCTGTCTGGCAATGGTCTGCCAACTGCACTCAGCACAAACTGCAAATATTTTTTCAGCAGACACACTGCCCAAGGTCTGCAAGTCCGTTGCTGTTGCAGCTATCTTCAGCCACATCCCTTCACCGATTTCACAACCCAAATGGTACCAAAGGGTGAAACAACTAAGAGCTGGCTGTCCGTTTCCCAACAGGCTGGTTCCAAAAACGAATCAAACGCCCCTCGCATGTTGTAGCTGAAGGGGCTCATGAAACACAAGGTGCAAGCGTAGTTCGTAGTTTGACAACTGAAGTTTGAATATCCCAGTATTCTGCGGAATCTGTTTACATACTTGAATCCTTTGCCGTCGCATTTTTCACGCCCCACCTCCATTTCTTTTATCGAAATCCCGGTTGCAACTCCCATCTGCAGCGTGGTATCTTGGTGACAAAATCCACCTGTTTGATGCCTAGAATGGCTTGGAATATCGGTTGGGAAAGTCGATTCACTGCATTTCTAGTTCCAAGCGGTTCCCATTTCAAAACAGGAAATGGATAGGGAATCTGGATACCCATACTTCCTCAGTTCCCTCCTAAACACTGGATACTTGGAGGATAATCCCACTTAGTGACTGGTTAATAACATGTTTCTTCCAGGTCCTCGATTCCTAGGGTTATTCCATAAGTGGATTATCACCCCAACCAGTCATAACCAGTCACCAAAAGTGGGATGATCCTCCAGGTAAATTCCCAGTTCTTCATTTTTTGTTCATCCATTATTGTTCTGGTTGGTGGTTTTAACCATCTTGAAAAATATTAGTCAATGGGAAGGATTATCCCATATATTATGGAAAATAAAACATGTTCCAAACCACCAACCAGATTATTGTTGGTTGTTATCCCATCGTTAATCATTAACCACTATTAACCAATGTTGACCATTAGAAACGATTATTAACCATGGTTCACCACCATTGACCAGTATTAACCATTATTGCCCCTTATTAATCATTATTAACCATGAATTACCATCTGGTTATTTAACATAGCCATGGAAAATCACATTTTTTAATAGGTAAACATAGGTAAACCATCTATAAATGGGCCATTTTCCATGGCTATGTTAAATAACCAGAGGGTATTGCCTATGTTTTTCACCAAAAAAACCATTGGATACCAGCCTGGAGGTACTCACACCCCAGGCGACGAGAACGCCACCAGCTCACCCCGCGAGTTTTGACGACACCTGCCTGGACCTTGATGAATGCGTCCAAAAATTGGCCAAAAAGCAATTAAATAAATTCATATGTATATATATATATATTATAGATAGATAGATAGAGATAGAGATAGAGATAGATATAGATATAGATATATATATATATACATGTATATATTTGGTTTATGTGTGTTTTTATTTATGATTTGTATGGTTTATATATCTGGTTGTTTTAAAATGGTTTTTAAAAAAAATAGCCATATCACTCATGATACTCATGAGGAAGATGAGTGGGTGAATTTTGGGTTAATATCACCGGTTGTTGAGCCGACTGTCTTGTTGATATCATGGAAAGCCATGGAATATGCAACCAAGCATATGGGCGTAGCAAATTTATGACTACTAAATCCATGGGAACTCTATGTTCTAAACCATGAAGATTTAGGGAATTCAAAATTAAACCCCAAGTTGGTTCCAAGTCAAAATTAAAAAGATAGCTCCCACTTTTTGGGGCTGCCTAGTCAATCAATGCCTCATAGACGACTCGGGGCTGACCATGCTGGGCAAACGTATACATGTGGTAAAACTCTTATGTTCAATCAACTGGTGAAGTTCAGTGTGGCTTATTGTTGGCTTTACAAGATTGACCATAGTGAATGGCAAGAAGCATGGCTATCAAAGGTGTCGCCAGCCTCACAGGCTGGGGCAAAAATTAACGCAGCCATAGCGACCGCGCATCCGCCCGACCCGAGGCCAACCTCGAACGCCGTCACACGAGGGGCTGCCAGCCACCCCGGGACAGCGAACGTGAGGCCGGGCGCTTTGGTGGCTTTCAGGACAGGGCTGCCAAAAAGAGTGGAGCCAAAGACCAGATCCCTAGGATGGAGGTTGGAATAGATATCCCTATATCTTGGGGGTGGGCTTGTGCTCCACTCATTTTTGGACCCTGGAGTGCCAGGGAGCCACAGGAAACCCGGCACTCTGTTGGGGCAGGGTTTAGGGTTAAACCGGAAGAAGGTGTGACCTCCCCGGACGCGGCCGTAGCCACCTTTGAGCCAGGCAGCGGTCGTGATCGTGGCTTGATTTGTGGGGGGATGACCGATGGCTCTAAGCCCAAAGGGTCCGTGGCCCATGAACAAATCTATGGCTGATTGATCTCTCTATGCCTGGAAAGTGAAATGCAGATTTTGTTGATCGCCCACAGAAGGGGATGTCAGAACAATGGAAAAAAAGATAGCTAATTTCACCATTGGGAGCTGTATGATCTTTGAAACCACGTCCCTTCTTATTGGGTTCACCACTTTGGGTTTGGGTCCCAAATCACCCCAAAGCATCCCAAAACAAAATTTGTTGATGGACATCCAACACCAACCACTCCGGGCCCTAAGCGCCTTCTTCTCTTCACCTTCTTCTTTGTCCACTATCCTCCGGGCACAAAAATCTTCAGGGCACCAGCTTCAGCTGCAAGGAATGTTAAGAGGATAATCGAACCATATGGCTTTGACGATACCATAGGCGATACTAGAGATTAGAATTTTTGGGGCAAAATGATCATCAATCAGCTTTGGGGGTACCCTATTTTCACACACACAAAAAAACAGCTTCCAAATCATGAAACCTTCAAGCTCCATTCATAGTGTAGGTACCCTTCTCAGAACCAGAAAGTGCTGAATGGATGGAGTAAACCCCCGTTCAGAATCCCCCTGATCTGTGCTTGGATCTTCCAGGGGTACAAAAGCTCAGCCTCCATGATTTTAGATTACCCTCTGGTAAACCAACATAACTATGGAAAATCACCATTTTTAATGGAAAAACTCACTATAAATGGTCATTTTCAATAGCTATGTTAGTGGCTTAATGTTTGCGTGCTGGCTGTATGCACACAAAATCCCACTCTGTGAATCGATGGATTCATCGCTCTCAAATGGGTATGGATGTGGGTCAAGTTTAAGACCAATTGGGCCACAACAACAGTTGGTCACTTTGAAGTAGTTACTATTCTTTTTCTGGACCTTTTTGACCCACACCCAAATGATATGTGAGGATCACAAAGAAGCGAGGAAACTTTGACTGAGCCAACCGGCTCAAGAGCTGGCTGGTTCATAGGTATTCCATGGTCTTCCCAGTTGGATCAGCTCATCATCAGTACATTTGGGGAGTATAATCCTGTCATAATGGACAAATGTCTAAGGCACTGCGAAAACATGTTCAGTCACCAGAATAATACCTACCCAGGCTGCTCGGCACCCATCCCAACCATATCTTCCTAAATCTTTAGCTCTCGTTGACCAGTTTGTGGTGGTTAAGTTATAATTATCTATACTAACCCCCGAAAAGATCAAATAGTAACCCTTGTCAAATAGTGATTCGCATCATTTTTTTCTATCTATCCAGGTGACATGTCTATAATCATTAAAACTGACTTCGAACAGGGTCCGACATTGGGATCCCTGGAAACCAGAACGTGCACAGGGCCCAAACCACCCTATAATCTATAATATATCTATATATGGTATATTACGTAGTTCACAAGGAGCTGTAGTCCACCAACGACATGTCGGCACCGATGTCGGCACCCAACCTCCCAAGACCAAAGTAGTCAGAGACCATGTGAACCTGAAATTTCAGCTTGGCGCTGATCAAAACCCCACCTGAAAATGGCTTAACTATGGTTTGTGGTAGATAAAACTATAGTTATATAATGGTTTATAAACCACCATCCTGTACCCGAACACCAATGTTTTCAGCTGGTAAAATGGATGTGAATCCCCCCGTTAGTATAGAGATCATGCGTTCCAATCCATCATCAAATGATATTCGTTTGGAAACCATGGGCTAAAACCACTATTTCATGTTATTTCATGATATTTCCGCAAAAAATTATGTGTTGGTAACGGTTTTTTGCCGGCCGTCAAGGTTGGTACCCAATTTTTCAGACCTGCTCATTTTTCGGGCGGCACTTACACTCGATTTGGGCAAGACTTCGTCTTGAGTAGGATGACGTATGAAATTTGGTGATATACATAAATTGCTGAAAATTCATCGAGGGACCTCGTAGAATTCAATCTGGCAATCACAAATCCAAGGGAAATCATCTATAAATGGGCGAAGGTCCATAGGCTAGATGACCAAAGCCCAAGCTAGTCCGAAGTTTGAAAGTAATTGCATGATTAATTAGCATCAATTTGAGGGAAACTCCAAAAAGTGATCATTTACACTTCGAAACGGCTCCGCCTCGTTTAAATAGACCCTAGATATCCGCCGACCCCTGCCGACAGCAGGGGGAGCGCGTCAGAGGAGGAATTACCAGCAGCAAGGGCCAAGAAGTCATTACAAGCAGCAAGGGCAAGAAGCAAGAAAACATGAAAGAAGAAGCAAGAAGCAAGAAGCAATTACAGGCAACAAGCGGCAAGAAGCAAGAAACAAGAAGCCAGGAAGCAACAAGCGGCTGGAAGACAGGTCAGAGAAGTCATTACAAACAGCAAGGGCAAGAAGCAAAAAAACAAGAAAGAAGAAGCAAGAAGCAAGAAGCAATTACAGGCAACAAGCGGCAAGAAGCAAGAAACAAGAAGCCAGGAAGCAACAAGCGGCTGGAAGACAGGTCAGAGAAGCAAGAAACAAGAAGCCAGGAAGCAACAAGCGGCTGGAAGACAGGTCAGAGAGCTAGTTTTCTTGTCGATTCAGAAAGCAACGTTAGGCAGGCGGCTGGAAGACAGGTCAGAGAGCTAGTTTTCTTGTCGATTCAGAAAGCAACGTTAGGCAGGCGGCTGGAAGACAGCTCAGAGAGCTAGTTTTCTCCGGAGGCTCGGTCCGTCCTTCAGGGCCCTGCTGTTTTGCTGTGGCGAGGGCGCCGTTTGTGAGCCTTGACGGCTGGAAGAGAGCTAGTTTTCTTGTAGGTTCAGAAAGCGACGTTAGGCAGTGGGAGCCGTTGCCCGGAGGCTCGGTCCGTCCTTCAGGGCCCTGCTGTTTTGCTGTGGCGAGGGCGCCGTTTGTGAGCCTTGACGGCTGGAAGAGAGCTAGTTTGGGAGCCGTTGCCCGGAGGCCCGGTCCGTCCTTCAGGGCCCTGCTGTTTTGCTGTGCCGAGGGCGCCGTTTGTGAGCCTTGACGGCTGGAAGAGAGCTAGTTTGGGAGCCGTTGCCCGGAGGCTCGGTCCGTCCTTCAGGGCCCTGCTGTTTTGCTGTGGCGAGGGCTGCCGTTTGTGAGCCTTGACGGCTGGAAGAGAGCTAGTTTTCTTGTAGGTTCAGAAAGCGACGTTAAGCAGTGGGAGCCGTTGCCCGGAGGCTCGGTCCGTCCTTCAGGGCCCTGCTGTTTTGCTGTGGCGAGGGCGCCGTTTGTGAGCCTTGACGGCTGGAAGAGAGCTAGTTTGGGAGCCGTTGCCCGGAGGCCCGGTCCGTCCCTCAGGGCCCTGCCGTTTTGCTGTGGCGAGGGCGCCGTTTGTGAGCCTTGACGGCTGGAAGAGAGCTAGTTTTCTTGTAGGTTCAGAAAGCAACGTTAGGCAGTGGGAGCCGTTGCCCGGAGGCTCGGTCCGTCCTTCAGGGCCCTGCTGTTTTGCTGTGGCGGAGGCGCCGTTTGTGAGCCTTGACGGCTGGAAGAGAGCTAGTTTGGGAGCCGTTGCCCGGAGGCTCGGTCCGTCCTTCAGGGCCCTGCTGTTTTGCTGTGGCGAGGGCGCCGTTTGTGAGCCTTGACGGCTGGAAGAGAGCTAGTTTTCTTGTAGGTTCAGAAAGCAACGTTAGGCAGTGGGAGCCGTTGCCCGGAGGCTCGGTCCGTCCTTCAGGGCCCTGCTGTTTTGCTGTGGCGAGGGCGCCGTTTGTGAGCCTTGACGGCTGGAAGAGAGCTAGTTTTCTTGTAGGTTCAGAAAGCAACGTTAGGCAGTGGGAGCCGTTGCCCGGAGGCTCGGTCCGTCCTTCAGGGCCCTGCTGTTTTGCTGTGGCGAGGGCGCCGTTTGTGAGCCTTGACGGCTGGAAGAGAGCTAGTTTGGGAGCCGTTGCCCGGAGGCTCGGTCCGTCCTTCAGGGCCCTGCTGTTTTGCTGTGGCGAGGGCGCCGTTTGTGAGCCTTGACGGCTGGAAGAGAGCTAGTTTTCTTGTAGGTTCAGAAAGCGACGTTAAGCAGTGGGAGCCGTTGCCCGGAGGCTCGGTCCGTCCTTCAGGGTCCTGCTGTTTTGCTGTGGCGAGGGCGCCGTTTGTGAGCCTTGACGGCTGGAAGAGAGCTAGTTTTCTTGTAGGTTCAGAAAGCGACGTTAGGCAGTGGGAGCCGTTGCCCGGAGGCTCGGTCCGTCCTTCAGGGCCCTGCTGTTTTGCTGTGGCGAGGGCGCCGTTTGTGAGCCTTGACGGCTGGAAGAGAGCTAGTTTGGGAGCCGTTGCCCGGAGGCTCGGTCCGTCCTTCAGGGCCCTGCTGTTTTGCTGTGGCGAGGGCGCCGTTTGTGAGCCTTGACGGCTGGAAGAGAGCTAGTTTTCTTGTAGGTTCAGAAAGCGACGTTAGGCAGTGGGAGCCGTTGCCCGGAGGCTCGGTCCGTCCTTCAGGGCCCTGCTGTTTTGCTGTGGCGAGGGCGCCGTTTGTGAGCCTTGACGGCTGGAAGAGAGCTAGTTTGGGAGCCGTTGCCCGGAGGCTCGGTCCGTCCTTCAGGGCCCTGCTGTTTTGCTGTGGCGAGGGCGCCGTTTGTGAGCCTTGACGGCTGGAAGAGAGCTAGTTTTCTTGTAGGTTCAGAAAGCAACGTTAGGCAGTGGGAGCCGTTGCCCGGAGGCTCGGTCCGTCCTTCAGGGCCCTGCTGTTTTGCTGTGGCGAGGGCGCCGTTTGTGAGCCTTGACGGCTGGAAGAGAGCTAGTTTTCTTGTAGGTTCAGAAAGCAACGTTAGGCACTGGGAGCCGTTGCCCGGAGGCTCGGTCCGTCCTTCAGGGCCCTGCTGTTTTGCTGTGGCGAGGGCGCCGTTTGTGAGCCTTGACGGCTGGAAGAGAGCTAGTTTTCTTGTAGGTTCAGAAAGCAACGTTAGGCAGTGGGAGCCGTTGCCCGGAGGCTCGGTCCGTCCTTCAGGGCCCTGCTGTTTGGGCGTGGCGGAGGCGCCGTTTGTGAGCCTTGACGGCTGGAAGAGAGCTAGTTTGGGAGCCGTTGCCCGGAGGCTCGGTCCGTCCTTCAGGGCCCTGCTGTTTTGCTGTGGCGAGGGCGCCGTTTGTGAGCCTTGACGGCTGGAAGAGAGCTAGTTTTCTTGTAGGTTCAGAAAGCGACGTTAGGCAGTGGGAGCCGTTGCCCGGAGGCTCGGTCCGTCCTTCAGGGCCCTGCTGTTTTGCTGTGGCGAGGGCGCCGTTTGTGAGCCTTGACGGCTGGAAGAGAGCTAGTTTTCTTGTAGGTTCAGAAAGCAACGTTAGGCAGTGGGAGCCGTTGCCCGGAGGGTTCCATCAACTATGCACGTGCCAGTGGTTGGTGGGACACTGCTTTCCGTTGGGAGTGCGATGAGTTACTTGAATTCGGCCGGAAGCTTTTGTTGAATGCACCACCGCGCTGCATGTCGGACACGTGTGCGTATGCGTGCGACCTGCAAGCAAGCCATTTGCAACGCGAAATTTGTGGCCGCAACCATCACCTCGGCGGTGATCGATTTGTCCTGTTGCCACTTTGCTTTGCACAGATTTGGCGCAGTGTGGGCAGATGTATGTGTACAGTTGTGGCGTAACCGTGTCAGGCCCGACAGCAAGCTGCTGGTTCGATGAGTGGGCAGTGTCCGTTTTGGGAGCTTCTGCTCGCGTGGAAGTTTGTCTTGCTTCGTGTATTTCCTGAATTTCCTTGCGAACGTCCTCTAGGATTGCTGCGTGACGTGGCGGGTTTCGCGTTGGCGCAAGCGGGCCAGGCGTTGATTCGTGCGATGAGCAAGACGGCAAACGAAGGCAAAGGCTGTGCATGCGTTGCATACTTGTGTGCCGTCTTGAGTATATTCACGACCTTGTTGCCAAGCTGTAAACTCTGTTCGTGGCTTGCGTTCCGCGCACTGGCGACATTGCCAACAGCCGCGTACTTTGGTGGCACATTCTCTGCAGCAGCGGCGATCCGCGTGGCGAGCTTTCCATGCGGCTGCGCCAAAGTCGGATTCTGCTTTCACAACGCCACACTTGAAACAAGGTTTCTTCACTTCACATGTCAAACACACACGAAAAAAACTACATTGCCGTTGACGATGCTTTGCTGGAAAATTGTCTTCGGCATGCCACAGCTTGCAAACGTTGCATTGCCACGGCGCCCGGAGGCTCGGTCCGTCCTTCAGGGCCCTGCTGTTTTGCTGTGGCGAGGGCGCCGTTTGTGAGCCTTGACGGCTGGAAGAGAGCTAGTTTTCTTGTAGGTTCAGAAAGCAACGTTAGGCAGTGGGAGCCGTTGCCCGGAGGGTTCCATCAACTATGCACGTGCCAGTGGTTGGTGGGACACTGCTTTCCGTTGGGAGTGCGATGAGTTACTTGAATTCGGCCGGAAGCTTTTGTTGAATGCACCACCGCGCTGCATGTCGGACACGTGTGCGTATGCGTGCGACCTGCAAGCAAGCCATTTGCAACGCGAAATTTGTGGCCGCAACCATCACCTCGGCGGTGATCGATTTGTCCTGTTGCCACTTTGCTTTGCACAGATTTGGCGCAGTGTGGGCAGATGTATGTGTACAGTTGTGGCGTAACCGTGTCAGGCCCGACAGCAAGCGGCTGGTTCGATGCGTGGGCAGTGTCCGTTTTGGGAGCTTCTGCTCGCGTGGAAGTTTGTCTTGCTTCGTGTATTTCCTGAATTTCCTTGCGAACGTCCTCTAGGATTGCTGCGTGACGGTGGCGGGTTTCGCGTTGGCGCAAGCGGGCCAGGCGTTGATTCGTGCGATGAGCAAGACGGCAAACGAAGGCAAAGGCTGTGCATGCGTTGCATACTTGTGTGCCGTTTTGAGTATATTCACGACCTTGTTGCCAAGCTGTAAACTCTGTTCGTGGCTTGCGTTCCGCGCACTGGCGACATTGCCAACAGCCGCGTAGTTTGGTGGCACATTCTCTGCAGCAGCGGCGATCCGCGTTGCGAGCTTTCCATGCGGCTGCGCCAAAGTCGGATTCTGCTTTCACAACGCCACACTTGAAACAAGGTTTCTTCACTTCACATGTCAAACACACACGAAAAAAACTACACTGCCGTTGACGATGCTTTGCTGGAAAATTGTCTTCGGCATGCCACAGCTTGCAAACGTTGCATTGCCACGGCGTTCCTGCGTCTGCGTAGTGCTTTGTGCATTCGCGACAGACGCGATCCTTGTCCTCGCGCTTCCATTGACCGGTCGTGAAGGCTGCTGCTGGCTTGCGTTCCGTACAGGTTGCACACCGACGTTCTTCGCAGTATTTGGCCAACAACGATTGCCAGTTGATGAAATCCCCTCGAAGGTGTCGCAGAAGAAGGTCTCGGCCCAAACCAATTCCCTTTTGGAATGGCGCGGCGTCAAAAGGTCGAAAAATCAACAATTTTTCGCGTCCTGACGCGAGTGATCGCGACATAGACCGTGAAGGGATTTCCTGTGGGACCTATACAAAGATCCGTCATCACCCCCTCTTTGATGGTCTGTCCTTGCGCCACATGCGCGGTGATGGCGAACTGGGGTGCGAGCGGGAATTGCGTCCGCGATGCACGCAGCTTGGGGCGTTGGCGTTGCCGGTCTAAGTACCACACACGCCTGCAAGTTCCGACGGGGTATACGTTTGCATCCGGCAGACCTGGCACATGCCATGAGGTTGCGGTTTCAAACCTCACATACACCACGGCCGGCAAAGTGTTGCACACGACTCCTTCCGGCGCAGGCGTCTCATTGGCAATCGTGGACCAACCGACGACGTAGCCCTTGGTGCCTTTTAGAATGCCACGCTTCCGGTCGAGGTGATCTGTTGCACGGACAGGCATGCCGACGCACAACGGCAACACGCCGTACAGTCCACCGCACTCTTTGTCGTGTCGCTGCAACCATTGCAATTTCTCCGTCGTCAAATTCGGCTTCTCCTGCACGACCACAGACGACGCAACATCTTGCGCAACAAATAAATACGGTTGCTTGTCTCTGGCATTCGCCCACTGTATGGCGCGAAGCTTGTTCACGTGGTATTTGATGTCGTTGGTGCCGAAAATCGCGACCGCATCTGCAAATTCCTTCTGGAACCGTGTGTCCGCAGCTCCTTGCGCCACAAGTATGCGCGAACGGCGATCCGCCGCACAGTAGCTGCATTCGGCCTCTTGTATGGCTTCTGGAATTAGGCCTTGTGTAGGCAACGCGGCGCAACTTGGTTGTTGGCACGTCGCCTGCCCAGCAATCCAGCTGCCTGGCACTGTGGTAGGCCGCCCGTGCAGAAAGCGATGGTTATTGTCGGACAAGTCACCATGGCGCAGTTGCGTTTGCACCTCTGCGAGCCATGCGTCTTGTGTACGCTCACAGCGCACCAGTTCCGTGACTCCTTGCAGCCCTGCTGCTGCCTCGCCCCAGAGAAGCGTTTGACCGTGATGTCCAGGTGCTTGCCTCGTGCTTTTCCGTCCGGCCAGCAGATCCCAGGGGATGTCCGCTAAGAACGTTCCTTTTGGAGGTGGTAGCTGGTACACATCGCCGGCCAAAATGACGTTCAATCCGCCAAACGGTCGGATTTTGCCATTGCCATCATACTTGGCCAAGCTGAGATCCCGCATGAGCTCGCGACAGCGAAGTTCCAACTGCGCCAGCAACTCCGCGCTCACCATGCTAAATTCATCCAAGATTAGCCATCGCCACTGCAAGCTGCGACCTGCGCATTCCATGGACCGTGCCAAGCTTTGAGTTCTGTCGCCCGACCAGTCCAAACCCAGCGCGTGGTGTATTGTGTCGCCGTCCAGAAGTTCAGCCATAACAGCTTGAAAACTGACTATCTGGAAGTCAACGCCATGGTGCCAGCCTAGCACGTTTTCGAACAAATCCTGCCGCAGAAATTTTAATGTGTGAGACTTTCCTGTTCCAGGACCACCGTGTAAGACCCAACGAAGCGGTTCTGAAGCCACAAGGCCAGATCCCGTGGCGGAAGCGCCGGCTGCCAGTTCGGTTTCCACGCGTGCGGCGACTAGCTCGCAAAAAGCTCGCTGCTCCGGGTTGCACGGTGCATGCGACAAGGCAGCGGCCCACGTTCGCACAGCCGCAGCGGATGCTTGACACGGGTGCACTGTCACAGAACTGGGTTCGGGTGAAGCAACTGCGGGTCCGGCGTTGAATCGTTTCCGGGCAGCTTGCTGCATGGCTTTCAGATCCAAAGCACTGTATGGTGTGCTTGCACCAGAGTCACCAGAGCTTCTCTGCGGTCGCGCCGGTGCCTGCCAAAGTTGATCTGCTGTGTTCATGGCCGATTCGCTTCGGATTGCCCGGTCGTCGTTTGCGGCTTTGCTGCTGCTCGCTTTCTGCGCCGGGAACTGTGTGCGGAGTGCTGCCGCCACATCGGCTGGACACAATGTAAACGGTTCGTCCACACCATCGTCATCGCTGTTGGCGTCTGCTTCCGCGCTGGGCCGGACACGATATACCGACAAGAAATTACCCACGTGGCGCTTTGTTTCGGCGCAAGGCAACCGAAGCAGCCACTCTCGCAGAGCATCTTCCCACGTCTCATTGGATCCCAACAACTGACTTAGGTGAGGGACTTGTGATGTGGCCCGCGTCAGGTCTAAAGTCCAGGCTCGAAAATAAAGGCACGTCAATCGGGCGTTGCGATCCGCGGCATCAGCCCAGCGCTGCGGTACCGGAGCATTCGCGAAATGAGGACACCGTGGGCGCACACGGCGCTGCAAATACCAGTTGTGTCGAAGCACTGCAGTGGCCGCAGCGGATGCGAAATAAACGCGGTCGCAGGAACGCAGGACTTTCAACCGGTAATCTGTGCTCGGCTTCAATTTGGCAGCGGTGTGGAGCGGGCTTTGCAACAATTTTTGTTCCCCGACCGGGGTCAGTGCTACATCCCAGGCGTCGGGACTAGCTGCCTCCCATTCGGCGCGGGAATGCGGAATGCGCGCTGGAACCAACTCCCAGTGCATGGTGAACTCGTATGGGGACAGCCACCAGCACTCGGAGTCCGACGGCCGATGACTATATGCTTGTCCAGTTACCGCTTCCCGCACATGCTGCGCTCCGGATCCTGGTGCCTTCCGCGTTCGAACATATGCTATATTGGTCCCGGCCTCTTTTCCGTCCAACCTTTCCAGTAGCTGTAAATAAACGTGTCCAGGAAACACGGTGAAGTTGCACGAGGACACACGTTCCGCGGCTACAATCGAGCCATCGATGTGGTTGGCACGCAGATTGCAACATTCAACTTGGCCGCGCACCAGGCCTTTGCAGTAGGCGTCACTTAAAAAACGGTTTGCATGTCTTTTGCCAATATGCTCCACGTCTGCCTGCTTTAAGGATGCATGTAAAGCGATGTGCCCTTTCTGAAATTCTTTGATCTCGTGGAACCCCATGGGCTGATTTTTAGAACAATAATCGCTGCAATAACCTGTTTGCGCATCTTGGGCACGCTGGGCTGCTAACGCTATGAGTTGTTTCTCTTTGCCCGACAGCGAGTCGCCACACGTTGCACACGCGTATGGCAACCTGTATGGCACTTGGACGTCATTGTTCCCACCACGCATCCCCGCTAAAAGTGCTGGATGGCAAGGATTCAAGTACGGATGCCCGTACGGACCATGAAGGGCCCCTAGCCGATTCTTGCGACCCGTTAGACTGAAGCCATGAGATTGGAGCTGGCATGGGCAAAGCACTTTTGCACGGTCGGCCAGCCACTGATCGCGTGGGAAGTCTGATTTGCATACGCCCATGTTTTCTTTCTTCTGGCAGCCTCGCAGTGGCATGCGTTCGCCCGTTTCCACGTTCAGCGGGTGGTAATGATGCTGCTTCAGATACTGCAACTTGACGACGTCATGCTCGAGGTAATCTTGCCCCCACTGTTCGGCTTCGGTCAGATCTCTGGCCCCCTGCGCCCGTCGCTGCTGATATCCTGGGATTGTTGTCATGTGCGCGTCCTCTGCGTGCTCAGGCCACGTACTTTCTGCTCCTTCTATGCCTTCACGAATGCTATCCTTGCCTTGGCCGCTGTAGACAGCATGCGCAACGTGCGCTTGATACTTGCAGTATTCTTGCCGCAAAGCTTCTAATCGCCAATGCGGAAGCTGGAAAATTTCTGTCAGCGGCGTGTGTTGGTGCAAGCACTGAACAAAACATTGTATGTGCCCATGCAATGATCCAGTTGACTTTTGGGCTTCAATTGTGACGTATATGGCATCAACGCGTCCAAACGCTCCACCTAAAAGGCTCGCGTTGCTGCCAGACGTGTCGCTGCATGGTGTTGCAGTCATGTCACAGTCGGGGCAAAGCTCGCACATTCGCACGCCAAAGATGTGACGACAGAGCAACCGCAGTAAAACGTGAAAACCATCAACGGACGCCAAGGGATCACGGGCCAACACGGCACGGCGCTGCTGCCAGGATGGGAGCGCGCGACAGAAGTTTTCGAGATGGATTGGGAAGCAAAGGTCGCCATCTAGCGATGGGAACTGCCGATCTCCTGAACACCACTCCTGCCACACCGAGGCGCTGCGCACTGGATCGGATGCGCGTGTCCGCGACATGCGAATGAAGAGCCACTGGTGCGCCTCATCGGGCGACACGGTGATGAACAACGGCACGCCGTAGCGGACCCGCATCGCTTCAATTTCAAAGCGCATTTGGCGTCTTGCTTCTTGCGTTCCTGGCAAGCTGCGGGCCGTCTGTTTCATATTTTTCAACAGCTTGCGCGCGGCGGGGCGCAGATTCCGAACATATGACAACTTGGAGATATCGCCATTCACGGGTCGAAGGTTCCCACGGACATCCGCATACGTTCCACTCAATGCATTCAGTAATTGCAAGGCACCAGCTTCAACTTCTTCGGCACGCAGTGCGCGAAATTTTTGTTCGACTTCATCAAAGATTGGCGCGTTGTATGGGGACAGATTCCGAGACAAATTGATTGCCGACCGGAAATACAAATTCCAGGTCGTGAATCCAAATGTCCAATCCCGATTGATTTGCGATTCGCAACGCCGGGCCATGCAACGCATCCAGGTTGAGAACTCGACGCGCAAAGCATCCGGTGGGCGCCGGTGCCGAAGTTTGGGGCTCCAGCTTGGCGGATCCGGCATTCCACTCCCATACGGGAAGAGAAAAGCAAAGGCAAACGCAAAATACCACGGTTCGAATTGATCCAACAAACGGTTGCCAGTGTAAACCACCGCGGTGGTGGTTTCAGCTTTGCACGCCTCAGCTGTCCCCACCGCCGCCTGCAAGGCTGCCACGTGTGTTGCATTAGGATCAGCGAAGCCAGCGCTCGTGCGCTCGCTCACTACAGCGTTCGGCTTGCACATGTGCGCAAATTATATAAATTTAGGGATCTCCAAACGATTGGATAGAAAAAACAGAACAAGGTAAATCAGCTCGACGAGTATTTAGCAGTTTACCGCCCCCCGCTCGCCGCCCCAAGCTACCCTGCCTGGGGTCGGCGGCAGGGGGCGTAGCCCCTTAATTTGTTCTGGATTACCCTCTGGTAATTTAACATAGCTATTGAAAATCACCATTTTGAATGGGAAAATCCACTATAAATCACCATTTTCAATAGCTATTAACATCATCAAAAGCTTCAAATTTCGACCCGGCCAAGCCCCAAGCCCATCACTCTTGGTGCCGCGCCAATTTCCGAAGCTTTGGTGGCAACGGTGTGTTCAGTTTGATGCGCTCGATGCTGGCAGGTGAAAACGTGAAAACGGCCATGTCACCAAAATGGGGATGGGTCAAAACCCTGGTACCTAGTGAACCCCAAAATAGCTGGTAAATGGATGTTCATCCCACTAAAAATGGTATTAATAGGTATTGACCCATACCCAAATGAGTTGCTGGGATTGATCTGGGTAATATAATTCACTAACCTGTTAAATAACCATCAATATTAGGGATAATAAAGGCGAATAATAATTATTATAAGATATCATAAGGTCAGTTATTCTACAATTTTAATTGCATTGTCATGATTAATAATAAATAGTTTATTAATATGATTGTTAATTATTTACGATATTGGGATAATTTCCCTTACAAACCGTCAAGTCCATTATTTACGGAGAACAGTGAGGATTGATCTCGCTGATTCCAGGGCGCTTGGCTCGGCCAAGGAACGTACCACTCTGGAGGTTGTTGATGATATGGCCTCATGGCGGGAAAATCATGCCTTGGGGTGGAAAAAAAGCGTCAAAAAATCTGACATGGCAAGATAGACCAAGATCGGTTTCCCCATCACAAATAAAGGGCTGAAAATACGTAGGTAGTATCCCTCATTGTCTCGACTACAGAACATTCGGTGGTCGAGGTCTTGAATCAAAACTGAACGGCACAGGACTGAGTCAGCTCAAGATGCAAAACCATGATGCAACTTGTGCGATCTCTGAAAATTCCCCTGACATTAGATACCACTATGGGACCCTGACATGAGTACATAGATCCAATACTGAACCATGGTGTCGTTTCGGGGATAATTCACGTTTACATCTAGGAAACAAAAAAAACTCAAGAATCTTGACTTCTCCAAATCCAGGTGTGTCTCAAAATGGGTATACTCCGTAAATATTACTATTCCAATAGGGGAAATGATACCATCAAAAATTTGGGAGTTTTCCCAGACACATCTGGGATCCCAGCTTTCCAGCTTCAACAGAAAGTTCCGTTCCTTCTGCGATTTCATCGCCAAGATCACCATGCCCTCAGAAGGCATGGTTTTAGGGTCCCATTTTTGGAAACCCCAAAAAATTGTAAACGAACATGCTTGGCCCGCAAATCCCCATGTTTACTAGGTAAATCATGTATGATGAATGGGCGAAATTCCTGCTGCAAAGCGATTCGTTCCGTGGCGCTTCTAATTTTCTGGACTGCAATTTGCCAGTCAATCAGTTCCACGATTTCCTACTTATGATGGACGCGCGGAAACAGCATGTGGAAGTATTGGAAAGTGTTGCACCAAGTGAAAATGGCTGAATCCAAGCACTGCATGATTTGTGAAACTACAAACCACTCCGCCACTCGTGAGCGCATCATGCTGAGTTGGATCGCCGATTGGCACTCCATCTTTGTACGCATCCCCAATCGGCCTATGATCAGCAGTGACCCCTAGCTATTATCCATATATAAGTTGGTTTATAACTAGACCAGGATATATGGAGGATGTACCTTTGCATCCCATGGTTTAAAGTTTAAATTGGGCTCCCCACATCAAGCTCCGGAGTGAAGGCATCGCCGCCGGAAGCTCCTGGAGAATGGAGAACAGTCCAGGAAAAAATCACTAAGTTGGTTTAGTTCACTAGGTGAATACTATGGCTTAACTTATGGTTGATATACCTATACTTAATCGGGTTTGTAAATATAAACCAACTTACAGTTTGAGGGGCACCACCTTGTAGGGATTGGTTTCTGATAAATTTTACAGGAAACCATTGTTTTAATTTTAATCGCACAGTATATAGGAATGTGGGGGGTTCCTGCATTTTTGTTCCTTCCAATTAGGAGAAACATGGAGAAACATATTGAGCAGCAAAAACTGATTTTGCATACCACCCATCCAAGGAATTTTTGGAGTATCATGTTAGAGGGACATGTTAGCCGTCGGTTGTGCACCCTATGGAAAAGGACAATAATAATTTGAAGAAGCAAAACCCAGTTCAATACGATTTTTTGTATCTACAACTCCTGGATTTTTGCCAGGTTCACCCCCAGCATCCTTTAGTTGGAGGGAGGATTCTATCTTGACGGCAAAGGATCGTTTTTGCGTGATATCTCCATAAGACCAGCAATGGTTTTTGACGGAGGTTTTGCTTCATACCCTTACTTGTAGCTGTCTCCTTGTTCCAGAATAGTTGGCTCCACATGCTATCCAGGTGATCCAAAGTCACATCTTGCCAGGAACTCGTTCCCTACTAGTTTCATTCGTGACTCAACGGAAGCAACGAAAAATCTCAGGCCTTGACTCGGATGGTTCGTAAAATGCAGAGATGCTTCACCAAGAGTTTGATGGGAATCAAACCAGTGACACTTCCAGGGATGACAAAACAAGGCTTGACCCAGAAGAGCCTGATGCCACTGCCCCGCTCGACTCTCCTGGCGAGGTCATGTCGTCATATCTACAGAGAATGGCTCCAGTTACCATTAGATATCAGAGATTCTTATGGGGTCTCAACGGTTTTTTTCTTGGGTCTTAACTAATAATCACTGCTCGTTTTTCTTAGGTCTTAACAAACGACGGCTAGTTTTGCCTCTATTTTCTGTGGGGTTGTGGGTATTCATAACTGGCAAGGGCCCCTCCGAGAAAAACTTAGAAAAGGAAAATTTATTTGCTAGTTTGTTTTTAGGGAACAAAAAAACTTTACACTAACCTCCCAAAAAAAAACTATACCCATGGTCCAATATGGTTTTTCACCTCTGACCCACACCCCCCTGTGTGTTCCAAGTCATAGCACCATGACGCACCGGGTCCTGCCGGATCTGCCTGGAGGGGTTCCTCCGGCACGTCAAACAGTGGATGACCGGTGGTCCAAAGAATTTCAGGGCAATTTCT